CTGAAGGAAGTAGCGTGCAAAAGTCAAAGTTTTATTATGGGAATTACTTAAAAGCTCATGATTCTCTTGTCCCCATTAGATATTTACAGAGTTAAAGTCCTCTTGAACATCTATACCGAAGTCCTTTTCACTGGAAGTATGTGGTAGTTGCTGATATCCGAGGGACCACGAGAATCTTCTCTTGTGGTATAGGGATCGGACTTTGCATTTATAAACATTGAATTCAGTGTCATTTTCCTTAGACCATTGATAAGCTGCGTTAAGTGTTTCTTGAAGTGTTAGAGGATCCTCGGGTTCTGTTACTGTATTCCAGATTTTATCGTCGTCTGCATATATCATTGATTTTGGACCTAACGCGTTCAGTAGATCATTTATGAATGTGAGGATCAAACGGGGATCGAGTACAGACCCTTATGGAACACCACGTTGATAGATCCGGATGTGGAATCAGAAACACGAGCTGATATACTCTGTTGTCGGAGGAATGCTCTAATTCAATCAAACGCGAAATCTTGGACGTCGTAATTGTAGAGCTTCTGTAACAAACTTTGGTGATTTGCTCAATCAAATGCTTTTGAGAAGTCGAGATAAATCACATCCACTGCATCTCCTTCGTCGACTGTTCTGGTTCATTCATCTCAAACAAGAATCAAGTTGGTGGGCCAGAATCGCTTTTGCTCGAACCCATATTGAGCTGTCGAAAGAGGTGTTCCATCAGAGAATCTACTACAATTGACTCCATGACTTTCGATAAGACCGGGAGCAGGGTTATTGGTCGATAGTTTGCGGGGTCACTACGAAAACCACCTTTTATATGGGCGAAATAACTCCTTGTTCCCGCGAAGGTGGGAGCTTTGCTTGGTCGAACATTCGTTGGGTCAGAATGGCTAGCGGTTCGGATATGTGTTCCGTCAAAAAGATCAGAGATTTCGGGTGTATATTGTCCGCGTCGGGGGTTAAATTTTTACGCAAAGCCATTAGGCTTGCTATGACGTTTTCTGCAACAAATGATAAGCTGGCCAGCGAGGAATATGCAACCGGGAAGCTAGCTGTAGACCTCCAACCTGCGATGCAGCGAAAACGTTAAAATACTGAGTTTTCAACATTTCAGCTGCTTCCGTTGGAGTGGATGTAAATCTTCCTGCGCAGCCTAGTGCCGGTATACAAAACTTTACCATCCGGGAGTTAACGTGCTAATCCGACAGTTTAGGGTTAGAGATGAATCTCTGGGCTAGCTCCTTTTGGTTCCATGACGGAAACAGAATATGGTCACTACAAACTCGGCAGTTCTAACGTAGGTCTGGTTCTCAAGTGTGTGCTGTTCACACGCGACAGGCAATCGCTGAAGTATAATACAAACGATAGGCTTATAGTCGATGATGGTTAAGGGTCAAAAAATGAGGGCTATTATTGTTCTAACGGGCTGGGAAGTAAAATTCAAATATAAATCAGAAACGAGGTTGTTTTGCACGACGATTCGATTAACCTTAAGCGTCTCATATACACCGAACATACCAAAAGGCCCGAAAACCAAAATGTCTGAAAAAAATTCACAAGAGAATACATTCGTACTTACACTCAGATACAACTATCTTATCAAGACCGATTACTGGATCATCAACCATGAAAAATGCTGTGCAATATTTGTGACACTTTCACATGTTGGTGATAAAGACGTTTGCTTTGTGGTTTGAGAGCCCACCGGAAAGGTGTGAACTCGTCTTCAATTGTATCCCTCTCATACAAGGCTGCATAAGTCAGATACAAAATACCATATGGACAAATAATCACTTACCGGACAAAAATCAGCTCGAAATTCCAATTGATTCTGTCTGTATGCGGTTTGGATTCGATCACAGTGCACTTTCAGACAAGTGATCAGGGTTGTGCGAATCTCGTTCACAGTTTGGGCACTGCGGCCGGGAGCAGATCCAAGGGCGAGAATATGATGACACCGGGATGAGGGGGCGGGGGGAGGCGGAAACGAGAAAAGGTATCCGTATAAGCTGGTGGAAAAACAGCACGCATGGAAGCGAAATGCGGACCAGTAATGTGATATAAACTTACCCAAATGTGAGATCCGTTGAGTGTGTGGCGCTTCTCTCCTGGATTTTCGAGTTCAAGACACAAACTAGGATGTGGTTGGATTCCGTAGACAACTGTTCGTCAAACTTTCGCTCCACATTTAAGCTCGATTTGGAATCTGGACAGCCGTTCTCATCCGGTTCAATTAAGGTATCGCCCAGATCGATCAGGGAACAGAAGAAATTCTTTAAAGAGTTATTTTCATTATCTATCGAATGCTTTTGTGCCTCGTTGAAAATATTTTGTAGCTGTTCCTGCAAGCCAGAGTGAGAATGGACAGAAAGTAGAACCGCTAAGGTATACCAGATTTAGAATAAAAACGGAATACTCTCTCGCAGCTACAGTTATGGAGGTAACTCACTGTATTGAAATCATCTGCGAAATATATCTTTCTCTTCTCTGTGACCACAGTGAAGGCGGAACTGGACAGCTGGAATAAATGACGGAAAAATTCATACATATTGGGAATCACATTGACTGACTAAAAACTCCAAAAGTTTATTCAAGAAAGTACTCAAATTGCTCTAAAGGGTGTGCTACTATTCCTAACCGTTTGATGCAACTTTAATTGCAGAGCATCGGTTGCATAGGGGAGGGATGAGTCTGAAACATTTAACTTTTAACTTAAAATACGTGTTTCTGACGTTCGAACGAGCAATAAATTTTCCGGATGGCAAGATACAGCAGCACGGCATTCAGACGGGAAACTGTGGTGTGTGTCTGGTTCGTTTTATCGATCTATCCTCTAGCCATCTTAGATGAGGAAGCTATGACAACTGGACGGTTAGTCCGAATTGTGCAGCTGAGTGTCACACTTTCGTCCCTCTGTCACTTAAAGAATAATTAATTATGTAATTCATTTTTAAAAGATCGCACTCCAGGTCGGTAAGAAACCAACATCTCACAACACCTATCATAAGCAACACGTTATTAATTTGCAAGAATCACGATTAGCATCATGTAAAGGAATTAATAGCATTACCCATCGGTTGACAAAAGTGCTGGATGAATTATTGGAAACAATAACCGCATTTCAAATGATTATGCTAAATGATGCGACTATCAAGCATGCAAAATAAGCTGAAGTAGAAGTCACTAGAAAGGAACACTGTTTGCCAGTCCGTATGTGACGATAAGCAACCATGGTGACCCAACACGCTCAAGGAAAACCTTGGTACGTAGTCGCAACTCCTCAATATGGATATTTTGTAAAACGACCTTGATCACTACACGTCAACCACCCATGATTTTACCTTCATTTCAAATCATTGTTTTCCTTCCACCCTGTGTTTTATCGACCCGTTGAATGACCACAATGGTAAGCGTGGTTAGCGTCAGCAACTTACCGCCCCGAAGGATGCGGCTTCGAATCTCACCCCAACAAATATATATTTTTTTATAAACAACAAATGGTAGTATATGCAACGGTCATATCTCACCACATTTCTCCCGAACAAAAAATCAAATACTTGCGCATACTGGCACAAGTTCATTTTTAACAAATAGGTACTTTATTATAGCTTGTAGTCATTTTTTCACATACAGATAGCAACATTTCTAATGGTTATAAATAGCCAAAAGTCTAGACAGATCGAGTCCATCACCCTCGATGTTGACGTCATATAGCACGTCGGTATTTTATACATATATTCTCAAAAATTATTTTAAATCAACTGTGGGGGAAAGGGAGTCAGTGTTTCTATCGACTTACCTGAATCAGTATACCGGGTGACAAAACTTCATTGGATGTCGCCTTGAATAAAGATCGTTTAAGGATTCACCATGGAGACCGGGAAGAAAGAAAATGAACCAGTCATAAAACGGAGGTTCTGCTACAAAATTAAGTTTGACCAAAATTTCAGCATCAAGCCTAATTAAACTTTATACCCCAAATATTTATTGAACGTGCGAGGTTTCTACTCCCGGTGTATTCGATGTCAGTGCGATCCTAGTGATTCCTAAGAAGAAGAAAACAATTATACCATGTTCCCAATGTTTTTCAGTGCTGAGCAACACGGTGATTCGGTTTGACCAACAAGCATTGATTGAATAACCCAAATCTTCTCAAACAGTTTATTGTAACTCATATTTATTTCTCCCGTTTAAAACAACTCCCTGTACTCGGCAAAAGTGTTTGTCCCATTTTCACAATGAAAGATTTGATTTTTTGTGCAAAAGAATGTTTTAGCACGATGCTGATCTCAACAGAACTTGTTTCCGTCTAGCATGGCCTTGAGAAACTAGATCGAATTAAATTTGCAGTAAAACAGTGAGCAGTCAGTCATACCTAATCACATATGGTTGAATTTTTTGACTGTATAACATGTCCTGTCTAAGCGAAGAAAATCTTTTTTTGAGATGGTCATGTCACTTTACCACCTAACAGCACCGGTTGAAATGTTGCAGCCTATGTCCAACCCTTCACAGACAGCTGGACTTCACGATGGTGCTATGGATGCCTCAGGCTAATAAACACTAACCAGACCTTTTGTGCGGGTAACGAAACTTTATCCATGATATGTCCTCAAGGTGAGGACAATCCAAATTATCGGGTAGCGGGGGTTGGCCCTTCTGAAGGAATCCTCATGTAAGACGAATAAATCAAATTTATAATTAAGGAGGTTCAAACATGCCTCGAATATGCATCTTTGTATTCGTATTGCGTAATATACTACCGAAATGCTTAAATTTGGCCTGTATATAAAGATTGATTCATTTGTCCAGTGATTTGGTAACATGTTCGGTGTTACTTACGAGCTACAAGAAGCCAAAGTACAACTCTGTTAATGATGATGGAAAAAATGTAAACAGTGGAACGTAGCGTTTGCACAGTCTTCACTAGTTCTGATTCCACAAGCCTGAAAGCTTCAAAAATTGTTGTTCAAACGTCCAGTTTGTGGGCCTTTTTTGTCGTTACGGTGGCAGTTTTATTTTGTTTTGCAGTGCCGGGTATTTCGTCTGCATTAGGATGCCCCAAAAATGTGGAGCGCTACCTGGTCTGGGGCTACACTAAGTTTGAAACGTAACATATCCGAACGGAATAAATTGCAAATTGTGAATTCACTTACCGGACACAACCAGCACTCGTCGTCATTCTCGTGAAAGAACACAAATACGGATTCCGCCTTCAAGTTCACGGCGATCTGGATTACAAAACAGAGGAGTAACCGAAAACTATTGAGAACGCACTGAAGTGTTCAAATGTCAAAGCCACATGTGGTACAACAACAAATTTAAGACACATAATAATGTTGAAGGATTTGGTTCGATCATATGCTGAATTGCATCGTGACAAGATTAAATGAAACGTAAACTGCAAAGCTAGGAAGCACTAGTGGGCAGCTGTTTCCACTTGGCTGGGTCTCATCAGCTGTACGGATCCGCTGACGCAAAAGAAAAATCGAACCAGCGACCTCACAGGTGGAACCCACGCATACTATCCACTCAGCTACCAGGCAGCTAATTAAACCGTTTGCCATACAGCACAACCTACCGTTGAGAGTTTAATGAAGGCATCTCACCTTGCGTACATGAGCGCAGTAGCCTCCAGGGTGATGATGCGGTTGGAAACATTCCAACCCGATTATACGTTATATGATGTGAGTGATATTGGCACTAGCTCGAAACGATGCGCTGTTTTATAAACATAGTTCTGATCAGGTACATGGTTACCGAGTGGGTAGTGGACTTGCTTTCCATCGGTGGGGTCCTGGGCTCGATCCGCAGAATGGTCGAAAGATTCGCACTGCTCATGAGACCCAACCAGGTCCAAACAGCTGTCTAATGCTTCCTAGGTTTTCTGCTCACATTTTGTTTGCCCTTTACACAACGAACGTAACCATATGACCAAACACAATAATAATAATGTGCCATAATTAACATTATGATGTGTCAAATAAGCCGTTTCACACCGTGACCATTCTTAAGATGTAGATATATTTTTCCGTTTATCCATCAGCTGAATTATTAGGCCAAATCACCGATGGGAATGATGGGAATGGTTGGCCACCATCACGGTTCTAACCAGTGGCGTTTATTTGAACTCGGATTCCTGAAATTGCGCTCGGAAAATGCTATTGTTCATGTATCATACTCCTACACAGACTTATGACTAATCGCCGTGCTATATCATCAAACTATACTCGGCGGTCTTTGAATCGCTCCTAACTCAAAATCGCAGCTTGCGGCCGATCAATGGGCAAGTGGATCGGAAATGAGAGTGCGCTTTTAGAATCCTGATACCATACCACGGTTAGGAAACTAAGTTTCAATACAGTGGAACATCCTCCAAGACGCAAAATAGAATGGAGTCCAAGTTGGGTATTTAGAAACATATTCAGTGTGCTTCGTGCACTGGTACTGCTACACTAGTGAAAAACAGTTTCAAATTACCAAGTGAACGGTTGGAGAATAATCTCAGGTAATTTTTCAGGAATTGTAAGATCTCACATACATAGACACACACACATGCAATGAACTCACATCTTTGCTGAGCAAATGTAACGCGGCCGCGAACGAATCAATTCGTAAAGGGGACGAATTGGATAGATCTTGTAGAGAAAGAAATTCAGAATTTTATGAATACATGTATGCGGTTCGCACAACTTACAATCACTTGATACGTCTGAATGCAATAGAGTGTTCTCCTCCCGGTTATCTTCATTGCAGGAACCTGAAAGTGGGTTGAGAAAAGGGAATCAGCAGTCAAGAACAAGTTGCCGTACCATTCAAGTAACTGTACGTTAGGACTTCACTTCTATTGAATTATTCGACTGACTGATAACGAGCTTAGTATGCTAACAAGCTAATGGAGTTATGTATGGAAGGATTACCGTTGATGGCTTCTACGTCGATGTAGTCGTCGGACCTCAACATATGATTTGTAATCTATCAAACAGCTGGTGGACTGGCTACGTGTATAGTGGACTGAAATAAAGAGCAGTTAACTGGCCACACTGCACATCCCACTTAGCCTAACCCTCGGAATTGAATCCCGAGCATAAAATGATTTTTTCCCCAATCGATATTATGCTAATAAACTAATTCGGATAAGGTACGGTAACCAAAACTGTAACAATTTTTAAAACCCAAAGAATTCAACTAATGAGGTGAAGAATCAAAATAACTTGATCATGTAGATGAGCATGAGTTGCATGTCACTTATATGTATTTATATTCAGCGAATTCCGAATTTTGGCACCAAAATGAGGTGAGCAAATTTTACTGAATAAACGTCCTCGTCTGACCTCCCGAAATGGAGACCATTAGTTAACCATGTTCATTAATCAAACAAAATAGTTGGGGTGATGGGGGAATAGCTAAAAAAGAAGGTGACATATCCACTACATTCCTTCAAATATCCTATTTGCCGGAATTCCGCTTAGATTTTGGTGGTTTTATTTGTCCTTTAACTTGTTTTACGATTTTTTTTCACAACTGAATAATTCTGTGAGTGAAAGACAACAAACTACACGGAATCTGAAACAGATTATCTATGTAAAGTGCTTCTTTTTGTACAAACGTTCCTGTAAAAGTAGTTCTGTTTGAGATATTTTCTAACATTAGATCATAAGAATTTGGTAATGCAATACCCTAAAGGTTTGGATGAATGCGATGGAATACGGGCATGTGTTGAATTGCACGGACACTCTGGTGTGAATAACTGGTGATGCAAATATGAACGCTGGAATGTAATGCGCTGATGACGTAATCTTTTAAGGATAAAAACCTCCGCAGATAGTACAAAGTTCACTTTGTGCTTAGCATTACCATGTTATTTGAACTTGTCACCGATCCACCAATCCAAGCGGTCATTCTCCACAACTGTGTTTTATTGATCACGATTTCATGGCTTATGGATAGAAAATCAGTTCACAAACCAGTCTGAGCCCAGTGGAGTGCAATTTATAAAAATAACCTGTGATCAGCAGACAACGCATTAAGATCCTAGGCGCCCCCGCGGTCTTCATATACATCCTGTTGTTTCACGGGTAAAATATCTTTGCACGTATTCTATTTTTGATAGATTATGCGTTCCAGAGAGAGAGGGAGAGCTCCTCCGAGGCAAAATTAATTGAATAATCCTGCAATGAGATCCGGATGGTTGCCTAATACGTTGTCTTGATTTAATCAATTGTGATGATTTTACCGAACTTGGCTCATGTTTTATCGCGGGTAGGTTTATCGCGGTAAGGAAATCTGTCCTGGTGTCCTGATTCATCAACCACTGACAAGGTATCACTGGTAAATGTAGGACAATAACGAAAAGCTACTGGTCGTTGGAATTCCCTATCAGCTTTCGACGTGAAGAGGGGAGTATAGCTGAGAAATTAATGAGTATCAGAAGTTCTCTATCCAAAATGGCGTAGCGCATGTCCATCAGGGCGCAGTAAAAACTCCTTTCTGTTTGTCTGTTGCTGACATCTTCAGTCTGATTGTCGCCCACTTCACGGAGACTAAATATCTGCTGGAAATCCATTCGGCAAACAGTCTAAACTCAAGTATCAGTGAATTACAATATCTTTGGATAACAGTTCGTCAATAATAGTGGCAATTGTAGTCTGATTTCGTAATTAGTATGTGTATTAGAGAGGAGTTATGGTTCAGGAATTTACACACTCCTGATCATGTACGGATGAATTATGTTACCCAGGCCAAAGTGGAAAAATTGTCTTGAGGGATTCACAATCGAGGCCTCAGAATAGCTAAAGCCTGACAAGCAGGGTAGCGGAGCAGTGTGCGAAAACCGCAATTCATACATTTTTCCTCGATTGATTTGCAATCAGGGTATCCGATCAACTCCCATAGGTGAACCGCGGGATTTCACCGACCCGCTCATTGCCTCAGGTGCCTGCTTTCAACACACTCAGACTAGTGGGGAAACCACTGCTACGTGAAAAATCATTTGAGATGCTTGAATTTATAGGATTGATTGACAAGGTGGAGGAGACAGATGTCCAGTCACAAGACCAAAGACCGAAAGATAGTGAAAATAAATTCATAGAACATGTCTAATATTATATCAGTTTTATCAAAAATATGAATACCTGTGAAATAAAACTGACTTTTCAGGATTTAAAAAACATACTTACATATACATAGTCTTTATTAAAATAGCAAGTTACCGTTAATCCATTCAGTGAAAGACTTATGTAGATTGGCAACCCAGCATCAAATAATAAGACTGATTAATCTGCTAAAAAACGATTTGATGAATCCTTCCTTGTCACCAATCATCGGGGACATTAACTGATTGCGGTGAATAATTGCAACAGAAACACTGGATGAAAGTTACCTACTCACTAATAACGGAATTTTTGTCATTTTTTAGTATGGATTTGTCGGTTGAAAAACAAGGAAGGTGAATTCGGTTCTGTTTTTATTATACGAAACCTATTGAGGACAATTTCCTGTTACGAACTCACTATGATGGTGTGGTTGTATTTGTCACCCAAGTCCATGAGACAGAAAAAGTCACACAAAATCACGTGATCACAGTGCAATTTTGACGGACATTAATCGTTAAAACAGAAAGTAATTAACCTGCTGAGGAAAATGTCCCCCAGAAAGATGAATCGTCGCTGTTTCCAACTCAGAGCGAAACACACGCAGACGACTGCGTAGTCGCGATACAATTCAAAGATTCACCGAGTATGAGGAAATTAGGACGAACGATAAATCAAGCAAACGGAAGGAATACATTTTTCACTAAGTTGTCAAGCGAACATGAACAAACACACGCACCGCGCGTGAAGTCATTGGACCTTTTGGTGTGGGAAACGGCAAACCTGAACGAGTTTTGTAGTTGAACGTTCAAGTTATCAATTCTGATCGCAATCGCGTCTCGACTACTCACCAATGCAGTCCCGTGTCAAGTGACAATGTCTCATATTGTTTGATAGATTCCTTCCAATTTACTGCTACTATTCGGGAAAGCGTTCCAGATGAGCGACATCACAGTGACATTTATATTCCCTAAAATTCTGCAACATCAATGGTATAAAATTTGTAAGTTTACTAAAATTGGAATTTTTTCCCAAGGGTTTGCGCTGTGTCCAGGTCTCCATCACGACTCCCGAACCATAACAATTACGAATGTTGCCGAATTTGAGGGATTACTTTTGCTGCCATCCTATCCCCGTTTCACATCACCTATTTGTATCTTTTCAAACAGTTACAGTTTGAGTTCGCACAATCATTACCTATGCACTTTCCTGCGTCGGTTTTCGTTGCTGTCTTTTGGCTACCCATTTGAATGAAAACTAAGAGAAAGACAGGAAAGGCTGTGAGAAGAATCAAAGAGAAAATTTAGATTTTCAGTGGAATAGTGTTGCATAGAAATTGACAAGATGCACGGGTGCTACTGTTTACAGCACTCAGCGATACCACTGTCTCTAACCACCGGGTACGATCATTCCGAGATTCCCTTTCAGGGAACTCAGCATTGCTCGTACGGCTGCCCCACCAGATTCGTGCATCGCTGCATAGACAGCGGTGTTCAAACACCGACAGTCTATCTTTATCCTGTTTCCTAACGGTTTACTATCTCCGCCGTGTAGCAGAACTTGTCGGACTGCCGCAGCATACACTCGACCCTTCACAGAGAGCCAGATGTCGCGACGACGCCACAGATGTCTCAAGTTGGCAAATGCCAACCGAGCCTTCTGTATACGAGCTGACACTTCATCCGTGATGCGTCCACCCGGTGATATGTAGCTGCCCAAATAACAGAACTTATCCATTTCCTCTAACAAATCCCTAGTTAGAGTGGGGCTGGGTGCTGGAACAACCTAGTTTTGATGTAACATCTTACACGTTGATGGTGCCAAACGCATACCGAATATGGCTACACTAGCACTCAAACTATCCAGAAAAGCTTGTAACTTACCTGGCTTTTCACTTAGTAGCACAATGTTGTCTGCATACTCTAGATCAGATAGTCTGCCACATGGGAGTAAATGGATACCACAATTCTATAACAAAGTTAAGTAGAAAGGAGAGAGAGGGCAACCCTGACTAACACCACTTTTCGTGGTGACATCAGGTGAAAACGTGCCATAAGCTCGGACTCGATTTCGGCTATTATTAGCTTTCTTCTTACGCCACTGTCGACGAAAGCGAAGCCGGTCGAAACATTCGAAGAGATGTTAACGGTTGTGTCGCCATGGAATGTATTGTACGAAAATTCTTAACAGTCAAGGTTCAGATTCCCCGAATATTCATTAATCCCAGTTAAGTTTTATCAGGGTTATTAAACTAACCCTCTGTATCGCATACCCGGGTGAGGTTGTCAAGAGTGGCGTCGGACAAAATGTCTAAACTCATCCATTTTTCGGGTTTTTGTTAATGGACTTATAATTATCTTGATATTTCCAATGACAAATTGTCTGAGGATTTATATTTTGATCAGCTACTTCGCAAGCAGCGCTAGTGTCTTACATTGGAATAGAACAAAATCCTACAGATTATGATCGATTTTAAAACTCATACATGTCTTTGGATTCATTATCCACTTAACCGGGAATCAATCGCTTCATAGTTACTTCTATCACTGCTTATAAATTGAATCTCTCACAGTCTTGTGTCTTCGGCAGTCTTAACCCTCCCTCGTTGAGACTAAGTTCACAACGGATTAATTAATTTCACTTTTTACTTGACTGAACCTGTACAATCAAAATTGTTCATCCCTGCATCCTTTTTCAAACCCGTTTTACGGTCAAAACCCAGCGAATGCTTTGCACAACTCACATGAGACAGCCATTTGCGGGAGACGTTCGACTGGAACCAAGCCGGTAGAACCTGTGGTCCCGAGCTGTTCCAAATCCCCGTGGACACGGCGAAAAGTTATAGCTAGCTGTATGACGGAAAAAAAGGAGGGAAGAAGTAGAACAATTGTTTGGATTGATTTGATCACTGCAAGTCGAAGATGAAGTTTTGCAGAAACCTGCGCGAGATCGCAAACAGAATCACATTCGCAAAGGAAGAGCAATTTGCTCAGCCAAATTCCTAACAGTCGTATTTTATTTATAATTATCAGCAGAGATTGAAACAAAATCGGAGCTAATGAACAAAAACATAGACAAACACGCTTTGAAAAGCTTTATTGTAAATCAATTTCAAATTGAGAGACTCGAATGATTGACAGAAGAAACTAGTTGTCGTGTGTATTTGTGCTTCTTCCATGTTAGTTATTTGATCTGAAAAACAAAAGACAGGAATGTTATCACCTCAATGGGCTGTGCTGTATATGAATGTCTCATCAACGATTGAACCACCAGCTGTGTCGATTTGGTAACAGTAAATCAGAAATGATAATATCCGTGAGCTCGGATCTCCCTACGTCATAACAGATTAACGATTCCATTTGTTATGGGGCACACAATTTCAACAAGTTGATTGTACAAGCTTCGCCTCACTGACTTCTATTCCGGACCACATCTTTCAGAGTCTTTAATCAACGACAGTCGTCATCCTTCAACCACAAACCAAAAAAACGGGTGTATGAACCAAAAATTGGGCAGTGAAACCGACCGAAAGATTAATGTCACTGTTGTTCTCGATTTGGTTCTCGATTTTACACGATTTTATACATTTTTTCTCGTTTTTACCCAAACCACTTCCATCAAACCTTATTGTGTTTGCGTTAGAGCAATGTTTTCCCACCGGCTGACGATATACACATAAACCTAGAACGGCGACAGAGCATGTGGATAGAACGTACAACTGGAGCAATGACATCCACAATTACTTATAGATGTAGATCACGGGTGTGGATCTCTGGCGAAATTGGTAAACTAACTGATATTGTTACGTGGTGAGATATACAAAGGGAGTACGTCTATCACTGAAGAACGTGTACGCGTCAATCTGAGGACGTGACAAAGTACTATGCTTATCTATTGTATCTAGTGTTGGTGATGGTTGTGGTGATGGTGGTGGTGATGGTTTGCTAAACAAAGCCAAACAGGAACTACAAATACTATTTTTTCAGGCTAACGTGTACTTTTTATTGATGCAAAAGAATTTATGAAAAGCAAACATACCTCGTTCACTAGTTGCTGAAATATTTGCTGTTCAGATAGACCAAAATGCGGCAAACAGAACTGAAAAGAACACGGTAAAAAACACTTTTATACTCGCAGAAATGAACAATATTACAAAACTAACCAAGGTCCAACAATGTCTTCTTAATATACACATTTGGGTGAAAACGTTTAGTTTCAGTCATTTATTGATCTAATAATGAGTCAAGCGATTAATGGAGGCTTTGGTTAAATTTCAGCACCAGCACCTTCCCATAGTAAGTTCATTGCCCTGCATATAAAAGTATATATCTTTTTTGTGGCTAATTGAGTGGGGGACTGAAAACGATTGTAGACAAGATAATTGGATTTCAAGCATAGAGGTTTCCCGGTAAATTGTTTTCCACCACTGGTCTAGGAACAGTTTCTTTGGAAAATGTCGAATTACACAGAAACACATTGATCTGCCGAAAACGGTGTTAGTTAAGTGTAAACCAATACACCTATTTGAGAACACGTTGCACAGGGGAAATAGGGTTATCGTTTTGGGTTTCTTTCTGTAATCTAGGGAGGAAGCACAGTTTTCTTCAGCTCACTTGGCACAAATGTCACCCTTACATTTTCGTGTGGCTGTTCGAATTATTGTTCTTTGACTAGCCATTTTAATGAAGAACCAGAGGAAAAACTGATTTTTGGAAGCACGCCGCGCAAAACTAGAGAAATCAAACAGAGGAACTTTGCGAAGGTATTGGGAGATGTACGGGGGTGACTGTTTCTGACACTTAGGCATATCGCGCAGTGTATTCATCCGCGACACTGATTCCGATATCCACTTGACTGATTAGAGATTTCAGACATTCATGCCACGTGTCAGTTTCACCATTCCTAACTTTTTCCATACATCAACCTCTTGTTAGTCGGGGAATGTTATCAGTTGATATACATGGCTGACACATGGCCTAAACAAATAAACCCATGGAGTTGGACCATTTGTTCTCAGGGGTTATCGTGTTTCTGTGCTTAACCTTAACTTTAATTTACCGATTACCCCAATCAGGCTTGTACAATAAGACTAAACAGTGATGTTAGAACACCGATAACTTATTTCTATCTAGTTCTTAGGTATGATAATTGCGTGTTCCATTACGATTCACCAAAAGCTGTCAGGGAATTACTTGCATGTGGATGCATCATGTGAGTAATAGCTATAGGAATTCGATGCTTCCATGTCTAGTAGTGTTAGAAGAGATGCGCTGATCTGTTGCTTTTTCTGTCCTTTGTAATGGCATAATGAGAAAAACGTGGTACAAGTGAAGGAAAACGGACTGCAATTCATCGCAGGCTCACAAGTTCATTAGTTAAGCCGTAATCACGAGCGTGATTTCAGAAAAAATACAAAGTCAGATTATAGAATTCGTTTCTAACAAAACTAGCACCGGTGTTACCACTGTACCAACCAGATCATGCCAGGACTTAACCGAATTTCCCCAGGTGTCATCTTCAGAAATAGTCAGTCAGTTCAATTTGGTCCGATTGCAACGATGAGAGACACAAGTGACTACCTGTTAACTCCAATCAAACGCCTCCACCAAGTCAGGTCTTTCATGCAGGTTACAAGCCAACTGGCGACAAGCCTAATGGGCCGGATTGATAACTAGCATTGAACTCACACTCTTCCATGCAATGGATACGGAGTTCAAATCCTGGACGGGACGATGGATGATGATGAGCTGATGAGCTCTAATAACATCCAAACTCGAGTCTAGTGCCCCCGAGTGTAGGATTGACTGGAAGAGCTGTGGAATGTGATTGAAGGTGAGGCCTAAAGGATGGTCAGTTCTAATCAATTATTTGATTGTTAATGACATTAACTGCGTTATCCGCAGTAAGTTTGCACTAGATACCCAACCTGAAACGGTTTGACCGAACAGGTAAAATTGTTCTAATTTGGCGGTTCATCTTGTAGAGGCTAGATACAACAGTATCTTATCAACATGTCCTTGAAGAACACACGTCATAGAGCACAGGGTTATAGTGAAATTGGTATTGTGCTTTCCGTTTTGGGATGATTCGCTTACATTCCAAATGTCAACCCTATTGATGTCATTCGGTGACCTCTAATAATGCTCGTGTATCGCAAACGTTAAGGTTGATAGTCCTTTGATGAACCATAGGTCGTTCTGGACACGTAGTTAGAAAATGTTAGCAAGACAGCTTATTATTTGCCGATCATCAATATGCTGAAATGTGCTTCGCACTTTTGGTTCAAAAGGGAAAACAGAATTAGTAACACTATCCATATATTTGTTTCATACCTTAATTAAACATGTTCTAAAACTAACAATAATAATTTTCCCACTCCTTTAACAAATGTTTTGATGAGCTATGGCTTCAGTAATCAATGTGTAAAGAATGGTTGTTGGGAATTTATCCCTATAGAAAATGGAGTGCAGGGATTAGGTGGCTTCATAATTTAATCACGCATTGTACATCATAACTAATTTATGTGAACAACCTAAATTCCAACAGCAGTTTATTGCATATCCCTCATAAAATTAGTCTAAAAAGGCGTAATGTTACCGCATGTGTACAATGACTCACCGATATTAGTAGTCCGGTACTGTTAGACGGATTAGTTGTTCCAAGAATCACAACTAAAACCGAGAATGAACGGTTCAAGCACGTTATTTTCTTTTCGAGCAAATTCGTGGTCCGCGAATAGATCACATGATTAAAAAAGTCGATCTAGGATAGGTCACGTGGGTTTTCACTTACTACCAGATCTGATAGGAGCACGTAAAGTTAAGGGTCCCTCGAATTGTGACACGCCATCAGACTATTAATCCAAAAAGTTGATATCAATAAACGATGAATAAATGGCTTATACACCTTTTTTGATCTATATCGTACATTCTTCTCGGAGAACTTACCAAGTTTTAAACTGACATCCATCTCAGTGGTTACACGGAAAACCTGTCGAAGTTCCTTATCTTGTAATTGACAAACGGGAAGGACAACATGTTCGCATCTGTTTTGAAGGAGATAAGATAATTTTCTCCAATCAAAAATCAATCGTAGTATCCGTTACTTCGCCATATCGTTTATGACACTTCAAACAAAACATGTTAAATAATTGATGTTGAATCGGTCTGATAAGAAGTCTACACAAAATATGATATCTTTGAATTCACATACATATCCAAACGAAAACCGATGCAAAGCATGTAATACTTCTTTCAGTAGTTGGCTACCGATCTTGCATTCCAAAGACAGTGATGCCGATCCGCAAACTATTCTTCGGATTCCGTCATACCAGGTACACGAGGATATCACCTACAGTAATGGAGTTCGAACAGGAGTAACACATATACTCAATAGGGTTTACAAATTTATGTGAATTGAAAAAGGAAATTCTTTGACGGTTAATCTCCTAAACGATATCATTTCATCTAAACTAAGGGTTTGTCCACCAACGTTTAGTATAATTTTTTACTGCTCAAACGTGAAGGTTAATTTAGACAGGTGATCAACACGACGACGGATATATGATCCCTTTGTTTATTGATTGATTGGCATAAAAGGAAGTTCCCATTGGAGGAACTGGAATTAATAATTTTGAGCAATATAGCACTCTCATTAGTATAGATCACGCGAAGTGCTTCATTTCAGGCCATATGGTGTTGCGTCAGCACTAGGGTTTTACGGAAAGCAATATACCGTATGATGTGGCAATGATAACCGACAAAGAGAGCAAATTCTAGACTTGTAATCCATGTGAGATCGGAAACGGTTTCACTCCTTTTTTATAATACGTATCCGTGTAGTTAATGAT